ATGCTGCTATTCATACTGTCATTATATTAATGCTGCTATCCTGTATATATTGTACTTACTATTGTTTGAGTACTTACGATTGTTTTTTTTGTACTTTTATATTTATATTTATTATTGAAACTTGCACCAAGGGAGCAGCACTCCAATTTCGTTGTACTCTGTACAATGACAATAAAGGCTATTCTATTCTGTTCTGTTCTATTCTATTCTATTCTATTCTATTCTATTCTAAATTAGTGACAAATGTAAATATGAAAACATCCTTTCAACCTGTCAGGACTGTTTGAGGTCAGACTTTAAAGCTTTGAATTTATCTTTTCTCCTTTATGATTTTTAAATAAAGTTTCGGTATCCAACAAACAGGAAGCAGCACACAGTGTTCAACTCAGGATTCAGCTTTAGTGATGACATCCAGCAGGTGTCAGTGTTACACCAAACTGCCGTTTGTTGCATCACTTTGATATTCATATACAGTAAATTTCACGCATACAGTATTTTAGGTTTGTCACGTTAACAGCTGTTGATGGGAACACGTGAGAAAAATTATAATAAATGCTTTACTGGAACAATTCAACCATCACTACATTTTTAGCCATTCTTTCAAGAGATTAACTGATCCTCGAGAATATTTTTAAAAAGAAAATGATTCTAGCGTTACGTAGCTCACTGATACCCAAAGTCCCCCTAATTAACAGAAGCTATAATAATGGAAGATAATTATTAATTATTAAGTGTGACGCATCAGAGTAAACTTAAGATTTCTCTTATTTTGTCAATAACAGTTGAATGAGATTATACTTATATACTCTACACAAGCCTTTAATAGTGGTTTCATGTCATATACATCATGTAGCTATGATTTTTTTGAAAAAAGGAAAAAAAGTTCACAAGCAATCAAGAAGTACTGTATTTTTCGGATTATAAGGCGCATTAAGCGAAACAAAACAGTCAGATAAGTCAAGCTTTACTCAGCTCATTCTTCTTGCTTCCTCCACTTCAAGTTCAAGTTCAAATTTTATTCGCCACATGCAGTGGCAGGTTGCTGGTTGGAATGAACCCGTCCCCCGACCTTACTTACACACAACACAGACATCACATGGGGATACAAGTCAGAGAACGGTTGCATTACAGAAAAACCACTGAAATGTACACTACAATGGGAAAGTACAAGAGGAAAAAAAGAGACCTCTGCTCATGCTGGGCTACAGGAGGACAGCATGAGAACAGGAAACAAAAAAACTCCTCTGCACAGAAAGCACATAAATGTCCACAGCACAACATTATAGAGCACGTGACCAGCAACAAGGTTGGGTAGGGGAAAGGAGTAATCCCAGGCAACACAGCAGCCATCCTGCCACTGTGCCGACTCTCCAGCGCGAGCCGAGACCTGCTTTGTGAAAAACATTGATTCATTGATTCCCTAACCCCTCCGTGACATTGATTCATTAATGTTGAATTCTCTGGCAGCTGCTCTATTCCCATGTTGTTGCAGTATATGAATGACTAACCTCGTGTTGTGGATGGATTATCTCAGTTGTTCTCCTGACTGAAGTTTGGTCCGTTTACAGCATCCTGCCATGCGATTGCATTTGTCTCTAACCATCAGGAACCCTCAGGTGAACTTTTATCGAGTGGGAGAAAGTTAGCGTTCATCCTCCAGCTTTACTGTGTTTATGTTATGCTAACATAGCTGTGTTGCTAGCAATCACCTAGCACATCATTATGTACCAGCTAGCCCAACTTCAGTAACCCTACAAACGTCACTGCTGTCAAATTTCCTTCATTTGTTCAACTCAAAGGGAAATTCATTTTTACATTTTTCGTGGTGCATACTGCTGAAGGACTCAGGGATGGAGGTGTCTGAATCTATGTGGAGTAAGTGTTTGTCTAAAATCCACTCTGGCTCCATAAACAGTAGACACCAATTAATTCAATTTAAAATCTGACTGCACAAGATTCATCCCTCTGTCTCCCTAATGTGTGACAGGTTGGCAGACGTTGTTTCATGCTTTTTGGTCTTGTCCCTCATCCACAGGCTTTTGGTGTAATATATTTCACTGGTATTCCAGCGCATATATGGAGCCCTACAGCCTGCTCAGAGCTGCTCCCGGCTACAGTGCAGCAGCCGTTGGAGTTAGGTCTGATTGGTGCCCAGAGACTAATCCTGAGGGAATGGAGTCCCCCACTCCTCCTTCCTTTCAGTTGAAGGTAACAGACATGATGTCCATAATACAAATGGAAGAGATCAGCAAAGACTGTAAAGGCTCTCTTTTGAATGTCTGGAACACTTTGTGGAGGCCAGACTGGGCTAAACTGGGCTAAACTGGGCCCAGATTTGTAAACTCTATTCCAGCTTTTGGTGTTCTGTCTTGTGCTGTTTTGCATTATGCATGTTTGTCTGAATTAACTGTTTTTTCTGCAACACATCTGAGCCTGCTTGTTTTTGGGTTTGTTTTTGCTTTATATTTTGAAAATCCAAAACAAAATTTTAAAAAAAGGAGACTCAGAGCCACAACCTGTTCGTCCTTTAGCTTTGGTAGATTTAGATAGTTGAAAAATTCGTCATTTTCTGCATCGGATGGATTAATCTGTGACATGAAGCTTCGTTAAAGTCTTCAAAGACTTCTTTGTTGTGGCTCATGAGTAATGCTTTCAGTTCAACCCTTTATAGAGTAAATAGTTCTTTTTTCTTTTAGTTCTCCAAACGCAGGCTTTGCACTAGAAAATGTTTTCTTAATTCTTTAATTTAGTTTGAGTTTTCTCAGGTTGTTAACTGCATGTTCTTGTGGTGAATAAATAACTTCACTTCGTGCAGGCATCAGTTTAAAATCCTTGAGTGTAATTTCATCAACCTCTCTGTTCCTGCAGTTTCTCTGAAGGTTCTCCAAGCTGCTGGGTGGAGTGTTTAACTCACACTGCTGCTGCAGTTTGGCTTTTAGTTAAATGTTAGATGATAAAATAATTCATCTGTTGTTGATCCCAGGCTGTATTTGCATAATTTAACAACTTGAGAATCAGGACCAGACGATTTTTACCGGGTCCTAAAATATATCAAAGCTTAGACGTGTCAGAGCATCTTCTTTGAACGTACATAAAGTGAAATCAACTCTTTCGTTCTGCAGTTAAATGTAAGTGTAAGTTCAGTCTGTGCCGACACGAAGCAGTAAAGAGACCTCTGAGCAGCTCACGTCTTTTCCTCTGCTGCCCCCTGGTGTTCAAACTGTCCATGACTGTCCAACTCTGAAAAAATAAAAACTGTGAAATACATTTTTTATTTGATTCGACTGACAGGAAACATCCTGCGAGAACACTCAGCTGTGAAACTCTCAGGCATCTTTAAAGAACAAAAGTAAAAACAGGAC